GAAAGCACTGTGTAACGGCCTCGAGGGTGCTTGACCATTTTAACACAACGCGGTGCGATCATCGCCCTTGCGCGGAGTGAGGGTTAACCACCCCGCACAACATGATCTACTCGTCCACCATTCATGGCTACCGCAAAAAAAAAACAGAGGTAAATAAAAAAACGGTATTCTGGTTGCCGAGCTCACGAAGTGAATGGGCTTGTTTCACAACGTCGTTGCCAAGCGACGAAAACCCAATCCCGATGGCAAACACCGTGGGGGGGCGGGAGGAACAAACGTGCGCTCGCATGGTAAAAAGGTGTGTGGCTGACTGCGGTCATTGGTTACGGACTGCTGTTCACCAGCGAAAAAAATAAATTGAAAATATGTGGTAAGACGCAGTTTCAACAATGCATGTAGTGGACTCTTTCGAACTTACATCCTCTCCAGAACAAGGAAAGAGATTTTGAGTTTAGCGATCGATCTGAGGATCGTTCCGGACAGTCTCGCCAGAACCCATGACAACGAAAACCTAAGCATGAATCCTTTGTCCCGAAGTACATAAACAAGTTACGAGTACAACCCCTTCGGTGGCACTGCACTCTTAGCTAGGTATGACAAAAGACGGAAGTTTTAGATCGTCTTTCGTTCGTGGCAAAAAAAAACAACGCACATCACATGTTTCCATGTCACTGCGGGGTGTGTATGCGTGTGCCCCCAAGGGCCGAGCGCACACATTCTTTGCTGTTTCTGGAGGAAAGAAAAAAAACAAGAGAAGACAAAATGTGATTTCTCCGTACATCGATACTGTATGAGCTGAAAGAAAATCAAAGAATAAGTGTACATCATACATCATATATCATATTTCGAATGCTCTTGATCTTTCTGAAGACCAGGCGCCAAGGGGGTACCGAAAAAAAAAAGAAGGAATGTGCGCATCAACAAACCAACCCAACCCTCACCTGTGAAAGAAAATCTCGTGCGTATGCCAGTAGGCCTGCTGCGCGCTGTCCTCGAGGATCAACCTGACGTAGTAGCGCACCCCCACGAGCTCGGCCTCGTCGTGGACCTCTGAAATGTCCTGAGATTTTTCGGCATATGGACAAATAGGGGGCAAGGGGAATAAATGTCGCTCGCTTGACTCAGAAAGCTTACGGGGTTCGTAGTTGTTGATACCTGCTGCTGCTGCTGCTGCTCGGCTGTTGGCATGTCGAACAAAAACAAATGTATCATGACAGCTACCGATTTTCGGGCTTCGTGACGTGTAACATTACAATTCAATACCGTCTACCCTATTCGCAAAACGGGGGAACACAAAGCACAACCACAAGAAAAACATATCATGACAAGCACCTGTGTGAGAGACATATGAGACGGCGTGAGTGGAAAGGTGTGAAGAGGGACGTCCACCGCGATGTCCACATCGCCCAACACCGCCTCCAATCGACAGTCCTCTTCCTGCAAGCGGCACGTTTGAGGAAGGGGGGGGGGGGGNGGGGGGGCGACAGAAAGGTCTCAGCACTGGATTCAAACAACGGCATAGACAAAATCCATGGTGTCTCCTGTGTGCGCATTATTCCCTGTACAAAATAGGGTCGCGCGAGGCGGCCCGCGAGCGTTGGAAGAGGGGGCACCGTGGGTAAAACATGAGAGGTAAAACATGGGTACGAAAAGGGGGCATCGTGGATAGAAATGGGGACCTCGTGGGTAGCACGGCGGCAAGGCGGGAATGAATGGAGCGCCGTGGGTAGAGGGAGCACCGCGGGTACATATAAGGGGCGCCGTGGGGCATCGTGGGTAGATAAGGGGGCACTGCCGGTAGAAAATGGCACCATGGGAATTAAAGGGGAGCACCGTGGGTAGAAAAAGTGGGCCATCTAGGCAGAAAAAGTGAAAGAAAGCACATAGAAGCCGCTGCAAAAGAGTCTTGTGAAGCACTTCATTCTCCGTAGTCCCTAAAAGTAATGTATAGTCTACATGGAGAGAAAGAGGCAAGGCACGAAAAAAACGTGTCCAACCCTACACGCTACCAGATTTTTTGCACCGAAGCGTGCATCTCGAAGCTTGGCATCCGCAGTTGTTAACTTCAAAACTTCACCAATCTTCACTTGGCCGAACAATACCTAGCCCATAATCTACGTTGTGCGCATCTTGTGTCAATAGAGAGTGTGTGTATACTCTAACGAGAAGTCAAATCCATTCCCTTGGCAACATACAAACAAATGACGAGAGGAACGAAAAATGACAATCGCAGCCGCGGGGGCGCTCTGTTATGCGGGCATCCCCCTTTCGCTACGCATACAAGTCGCATCATACCTGTGATTGGACGAAGTGAATGTCCTTCTGCTCCACGAATGGGGACATGAACTGACGTCGGACCTGCTCTTCCTCGCTCAATCCCAAGGCTGACAATGGGTCCTGCCAACAACAACAAAACAAGGAGATAAAAAACACAGAAAACTAACGGTGCGGTGTTCTTCTGTTACTGCACGGAATCTCTCTCAAATCCGGAGGGTAGCCTAGACTCCCCGATGACGTTCCGTCACAGTGTCCGAGATCATGGCATTTAGAAGTGTTTCGTGATTTCAACCGCTTTTGAGACTGGCGTCTTTTCACTGGTCAGCCGGGGAGCGTGGTCGATGCCAATACTAAAGATAAACTCACTCACACAGGGAGAAAGGAGGCAAGGGAAGCACATTGGAAGGCCAGGCTCTCAAGCACAACGGATCCTATTGAAAACAAAAAGAGACGGACGATGTAAGCATATCAAGATCAGGCTGGAGCATAAAGACCCGTGACACATACACAGCGAAAACGAAGTGGAAGCATTGTACCATAGCAGGGGAGGGCTCGAGCACACAAGGTACCCTCTGATAAAACAAACAGGGAGAAAGAGGGACAGATTCGAGAATGCCGTATATGACACAAGATAACACACCCCCTTAACCGATTTTCAAAGCTCGATTTCTCAGCAGCAGGAAGAGTCACAGCGCCGAAAACGGCGGCGTTGGAACCGGCTCGTCGAGAGTTTTTCGAAAATGTATCCTTTCGTTTGTGCATCCACTTCGTCGTGGAGTGAACGAGCTTTGAAAATCGGTCTAGGGGGTGTGATATCTTGAGTAAATTTACGGTAGGCTTCGCAGGGTTTTCCTATACAGTAGGTGGCGCGACACAGTGGCATGTATGGGCAAGAGGAGAATACGGCACTATTCGCGGCAAAGCCACTTTCGATGTATATATCGGTTCATGTATCATACATGTTGAGATTGTGACAAGAGAGATTTTGACGCCACTGCAATATCGGCTGTTCCACCACTGTTATTGACTCGATATCGGCTGTTCCACCTCCTGTAAAGCAAACAAAATTGGATAAGGAATACAATCGGGGAAGTTGGGTTAAGGAATAGGGTCCGCGTCCCCCGGGTCCTGTTCTATTTCCTCATAAACTTATAAACCTCGTGGGAAAGGGCGACATACGAGGGTTGGGCCAGAAAACAAGGTACAGTACCCTGCCAAAAAGGGGGAGCGAACCGCCTTTCAAAACACTCTTCGGAACAGCACGAGTGGTGGAGTTCAGGCACAGCGGGGTGTTTGTCACCCGGACCTCATTGCGGTAGTCAAGAGCGGTATGACAAAGGCGCTCGGCCATCGTACATCGGACCCCCGTCTTGTACCGGAAAAAAGAGGGTATGTAACTACAGTACAACGGCGGTTACGGTTTCAAATGGGGTCGTGACAAGCTAGCATTTCTCTGATAAATCCGGTTTACTCTTAAACCGTACCGCTGTGAAATGTATGTATTTCTAGTGGTCGTGACAAGCCAGTTTGACTCTCTTAAATCGACACTTTCTCATAAATAGCCTCTTCAACCGTAGCCGCCACCGTAAACAATAGTGAGCCAAGTTCTTGGACACCGATTTCGACCCCCTCACTTCAAGGTTAAAGGTGTACGCTCTGATATCGGAGCCATGACTGTACTCAGTTGAAGAGCGCTACCCCAGCCAGGTGTTCGTCCTGGCGTCGTTACGAGAACGTAGGTACTCGGTTACAAAGATCCACCAAAGCGCCGCCGGCTGTTTTTGTGATCCTGACCTCGTGTGAAATGGGAAGGGGATTCGGAGAGCTCAATAGCAGCCCTAACCCTATAACCCTGACCGTACCCCTTAACGTTGACCTTAATACGGTTTACATTAGCGTGGAACGCTGCAGCCAATACCACAACAAATTAAACGGAGAAGGATCTTCAGCGCATCATGTGATATAATAGCATGAATTGACGGTGCGGCTCCATAAACAACACAGCTGCAACACAGTTACGCCCCTTGTATACATGCGCTGTTTCATTTGCTCCGCTGGTCAAGGGCGCGTGAAGATGACAAGGGGTGACACAGTTGAAAAGCTCCAAGCACAGCCGGATGTTCCGCCGTCCTAACCTTTTCCTTTCTGCACTCCCCGAGTATTGTGTGTTCGGCCACCAGCACCTCTGATGCCTCTCCGTACATGAACTCCGCCCGTAACAGCATCACCTGAAAAAAGAAAAGAAAAAAAACACGGCCGTTTCGCAGGAGCGGAAAGCTGTTGTTCGAAGGTGCGTGTATTTGAATAAGTATTGCTGTTGGACACTAAAGCCACACACGCACCACCTGACAAGAAGTAAAGAAAGGCCGTGTGGCGGCGAAGCGGAAAACCAGTTTTCGAAGGTGCACATTTTTGAACAAGTATTGCTGTTGGACACTCCATAGCCACGCCACGCATCGCTCGAAACAAAATTGGTGGAAATAGTATGGGCATATAGCGTGAATGTCGCCGTGCGTGTCGCTTTCGTCTAAAGAGACTTCCACGTAGCCGATAACAATAATTGCCGTTCGACACTCTACGGTCACGCATGCATCGCCTGAAAAAAACGGTGGGAGACCTGGGCTTAGATTAGAGCATGAATAGTTCTTCGATCAAGACAAGGAGTGTGATATCCTGCGTATGCGACTTGTTGTGAGAACATGTCATCTCACGTGTGCTGCGACGATGGGCAAAGCGACATCCGTGAACCGGACGGTCCCTTGGAGGACATCGCCGAGGTTGAAGCTGTCCACTCCGAAATCCTGCGCGAAAGAGAAGGAAAAACAAAAAAAAATGAGAAAAGAGAAAAATACTTGCACACGGCACAGCAAAAGCTGTCCACTCCGAAATCCTGCACTAACGAGAAGGAAAAACCAAAAAAACAAGGGGAGAGAGAAAATTGCTTGCACACGGAACAGTTAAAGCCGTCCACTCCGAAATTCTGCATGAAAGAGATAGAAAACAAGAAAGGGAAAAACTATTAATAATTCAAACAAAAAAATTGTTCAGCACGATAGAGATAAAAAAGAAAACATGAAAAACAGAACACAGTGGCCGCGCGAGGGTGACTCTAAACAAGAAGCTTTGCATCAACCGCATTAATAAGTGTGGTGAAATGCATGCACTTACGACAAAGCGCAGGGACCGTTGCAAACGGAGACGACCATAGGACGTGGCTCGAACCTCTATCCCCCTCCCTTCTCCAATCCGCCAAGCAAAAACAACGAAACCAATAGCTGTGCACACGAACGTTTATTTTTTCTCGATGCCATACAAAAGTCAATGCATGCACTCACGAACTCGCAGCGACCGTTGCAATCGGAGATGACAAGGACGTGGTTGGGCCCCCCTTCCTCGTTATCCTGGCCGGCGTCCTCGTCAGGGGCATTCGACAAGTACTCCATCGCCAGCGGGAGCTGCGGAAAGCGTGTTACGGGTAGTGTTGGACAAGAGGTAGGGGTAGTCACATACGATAGACGAATGGAATGTAACCCGCGTGTAAACGTAGAGGTGATGTCATACGTATACGATGTTTGTGAGCTACTCCATCGCCAGGGGGATCTGCGGATACGGTCAAGGGTGGGGTTGGTTAAGGGGGAGGAGTAGTCATACGATAGACGAATGGAATGCGTCCCGCGTGTAACCGTGGGTAGGGTCGATTGAAGGGGTTGCTACGGAGATCGGCCCGACGCATAACGGTCAGGCCTAGCCTAGACGAATGGAACGTGCTCAAGGAGTAACGGCAGCAGCAGGAGCAACCAGCAACAGCAGCAAACATCATCGTCAACAACAACAACACCAACAACAGCATCACGGCTAGCGCCAGGCCAGCCAACCGTACCTGCGAGTAGACGTTGAACGTATACCACGGCCTCTGAGCCGACACCATCAGTCTATGCCTCAGCGCCATCAGATCCCCCACGTACGTCTCTCGCACCGGCCACCTTCGGTGTCCGCTTAGGAGACCGAGATCCAGGTTGAAACTGAACACAGCCTTGTCTCTGCACCGGAGAACAAAAACAGCACGGGGGGCGTGTCAACCACCTGCCTGTACTAAAAGAAATACTTATATACGAAGAGGATCACTGAGACCGAGATCCAGGTTGAAGCTAACCACAGCTTTGCCTCTGGTGTGGCGAAAAAAGAATTGGCCTTCAGACACGCTTACTTAAAATCACGAGGTTGAACGCAATGCATTAAGTTGCTGCTCCCATGGGGAAATCATTTTTTTCTTCGAATGCTGCCTTGTTTTGTTCTCTATGCCTTCCTTCTTCCTCAGTTCCCCGAGACAACGCCGCTAGCGACCAGCACAAAAGACGGCATAACGACCACACCTGAAGAACCGTTTCCGTTTCCTTTCAACAGAGAGAAACTTTACTCCTGAGGTTGGTCCTCTCTTGCTCACTTGATGAAAAAAACTGAGCTTCAGTTTTCTTTTCTGTCTGAGGTATGTATGCTTTCTTAAAAAAAAAAAAAACATGCTCTTCTTTTGGGCCAATTATGGTCGAAAACATGCCCAAAACTGCCATTCATGCTCGTTTCTCGGCCAACATGCTCAATGCGCGACTCTTGCCCAAATTTTCGATATGTCTTTTTGCTCTTTGACGCTCGATCACAATGGGGAAAGGCCTACTTCTGGGGTCCAGTTTTGTGTAGTTGATTTCTAGAGAAGTGTACATCATTTTTGGGGCAGTTGGCTTGTGACCATGGAAGGCGTCCGCGTCAGTTGGACCAGTACGGACACTAGAAGGTACTGAGCGGAGACCGGATCGGGTATGTAAGTACAACAAATTTTTGTGGTTGGTTCTTTTCGCTCACTTGATGAATTGACCCGTCGCCACTTGCGCCTCTAAGGCTCCCACAATCTCCCCGGTATCGCTGTCCACCGTCATCAGGTGTTCCTCAAAAGTCACCGTTACACCGGACATCCATACCTGTGATAACCGGAAAATCGGCAAACCGCGACGAGCAAACACAATCAGGGCAAAGCGGTGAGCACCAATGCCCACGGAAAAAACTCGTCAGCCGTCCAGCACCCAAACATAAACACGCAAAGTATCTAACACCCGCTGAAAAAAAAACATCAACCGTTGTGAATACATGGGACACATCCGCGGAACACCCAACACCAGCGGGAAGAACCCGCCAGTCGTCCAACACCCCTGGGAAAACTTGCGAAATATCGAACACCCACGGGAAAAAACCATTAACCTTGTGTATCCCTGACATATATCCGCAAAACGGGAAACAACATCCAATCAACACTCATGGACCAAACATACCCGTCGGAGTTCGAATCCGGCGTTGCTACAGTAGGCACCTTCGTTTACCGTATCACCGTCAGTTTACCAAGCAACGCTGCTGCTCATGTACCACGGCATACCGCAATGATGCGAGAGAACGCAGGGGGGTGTCGCGTTTTTCTTAGGGTGGTTTCTCAACCACCAGGATGGGTATCGCTGTCGACAGGGGCGGTTTTGAACACACATCACGATCAGGAGGGTCGAGTTATGTATCGGTTGGTGTTCGCACCCTCCTGATCGTGGAGCAATCATCAAGCTTTGAAAAGACGCCCAAAACCCTTGTGCTTTCTCTCGCATCCTTACGGTGGGTCGAGATGACACGCAACAAAACAACTTACCCTTTTCGAGGTGGGTGCCATGACGGTGACAGTTCCCGTGATGTTCTCCGACGTGTCAAGCAACGGGCAGTGCCGTCGGAAAACGTTTCGTGGCACGAGGGAGAGCGACAGCGTGTCCATCCATGTTCGGTCCGAGTCTACCTCAACGGATATCTGCAGCATAGACAGACGGGGAGAGAGAGAGAGAGAGAGAGAGAGAGAGAGAGAGAGAGAGAGAGAAGAGAGACACACACACGGATGAGGTACAAGTAGAGTGGATGAGAAGCACGCCACGCGCAAAACATGCTCCGCCTAGGACTAGGACACTCTCACCCGCCGTATCGAGGACCGACAACCTGTTCCACGTTCAGCCAAAAACAAGCCATATTCCTGGCCGGGTTCAGTAACGGGGACGGGTTTAGCGACACCCTGTTACGCGACATGCCCTGTTTAGCGACCACAAAATCACGTGGAATGGCAGCGCACCCCGGTAGTATAGCTGGTATAATAGTTCAGTTTAGCGACCTGTCCTGAATTGAGGCCACAATTCGTCGTGACACCAGGGGTCGCTACACCGCCCCTTCCACGCTGAAAATAGTACATACCCCATGCCGGTGTACGCGTGCTGTGCCCAAATCAAATACAGCAGTGGAGGTCCGGTTTCGAGCCGGTTGGATGGTGCCCGTGTTTTCGGCGAGCACGCACTGATTTTCCAGTCAATGACTTCGAGAATAGTGCCGGTCTGGCATAGATAGTGCCAGCGATTTTTCTGGGCATATGCCGGCACGACCTAGGGACCAATTATGTACGCCATTGGAGGCCCCCGTTTCGCGACCCCTAGAGGCAAGAGAGGCGGTGGTCGCTAATCCAGGGCTAAACAGTCGGGGTGTCGTTGTGGTGCCACGCGATCAAAAGGTCGCCTCAAAGCAGGGCCCATGACTTTTCCGCCTGTATTCTTAACGTTCATGATCCTGGATTATCCAACACCCGCGGGACAAGTAATGAAACGTCCAAAGCCCTGGGAAAACCCGTGGAATATCAAACACCCACGGGGCAACACCAGTGACGCGTCGAGGACCCAGGGGAAAACCCGCAAAAAGCCACACACCCACGGGGAAACACCCGTGAAACGTCGAGAACCCATGGGAAAAACCGCGAAAAGCCACACACCCACGGGGAAGGACCTATGAAACAACCACCAACTCACGGGTGAATACAGAATGAACGTCGACCTTATCAAGGGACCGACATCTCGATTTCACGTTCTGCTAAAAAACCCAATCCTCCAACGTCGTGCTCGCACCTTGAAGACATCGTTGAACCATCCCGGGCCACCTAGATTAACCTTATCGAGGTTGCAGATGTAGTTGTACGGCCGCTCGTCCTCTCCCACGCCGTCCATCGGATTCCCCATCATGCCTGCCGTGCGAAGAAAACAAAACGATCACCAAGTCAAAAACCAGTAGCAGAAACCCCAACGCAACAACAACAACAACAACAACAACAACAACAACAACAACAACAACAACAACAACAACAACAACAACAACAACAACAACAACAACAACAACAAAAGCAACACTAACCACCACACCGTCACCGACAAAAAAAAATTGCGCACCTTCCGGGGGACGTGGTCGGCCCCCCTTCGTCGTTCCAAACAGCAATGACGTCATGGTCATCGCCAGCCAATTTCCCATGGTCGCCAAATCAACACCACAAGCATCGTCGGCAACATCGACAGCAACGACACCGGCGAAAAACATGAGCAGCAGCAGCAGCAGCAGCAGCAGCAGCAGCATGTAAACAAACAGCAGCACAGGGAACAAACACATGCGAAAAACACGCGCACCGGCAGCAGCAGCAGCAGCAGCAGCAGCAGCAGCGGCAGAACAAACACTAGCAGCATTTCAAAGCAGCAAACAGAACCCATTGGCGGCGAGCAAACGAGACAACGAAACGGTGGCACATAGCAGTGGCAGGGGCAGCATCGAGATAAAAAATGGTCTGGAAGATAACAATAATCCTGTCTTTGCACGGCAAGTGGCATCACCATGCCTGCATAAAAAGCAGCCACATTGGGAACCTGACGACGACGGCAGAGGCAACAACAGTAACAACAACGGACTGCCATCATCACCGACAGCAACATCACCAACAGCAACAACCGATAACAAAAACAACACCGCCGCCGCCCCCACCCACATCATCACCAACAACAGCAACGACAACAACAGCAACGACAACAACAGCAACGACAACAACAGCGACAGCCAAAACTACACACCAACGTTCTCACCCTGGGCGAAGACTTCCCTCCACCCGCCGCCTCCACATCAGCACCAAACCCCGCACCCGCCGCCGTACTCAAGTCGCCACCTGCTGCGGTTGCGGCGGCACTACTCGCTCCATTGTTGCTGTTGTCACCTGTGACTCGAACGAATAGCGGCGACAACAAGGGTCTGACATGATAACACACTTTGGCACAGCTACCGATGTCAACGCATGAAAAGAACATTACCACACGGGCGTTGTTGTCTCAAACGAAAAGCGACAACAACAAGGATGTAGCATGAGAACACGCTCGGCATTAGCTGCTGCTGAAATGCACAACATGCCATGACAAAGAGCATGGCCACCGTTGGTGCTGTTGTCACCGGTCACTCGAAGGAATAGCGCCACGATAACAAGGATCTGACATCAGGACATCACGGGATAACTACTGCTGTTGCGGCGGTACTGCTACTACTGCCGTCATTGCTGCCTTCGTCGTTGTTGGTTTCACCTGTGACTCGAACGAATATCGACGATAACAGGGGTCTGACACGAGCCCATTCTTATCCCGCCACAAGACCCATGTCTTCGTACTGGTCGACGCACGAAAAAAAAACACAAAAAACACAAAAAAAAAAACACAAAAACGCACTATGGATTCATTGCGACTCTATCTTAGACTTATTTCGATAGAGATGGATTTGTTGTGAGATATTAAGAAAATAAAAAAAAAACCCACCTGGCCCCTGAGGATCTTCAAGGTCCACTTCCCCCGCGGTGTCGACATCCGCCAAGCCCGCCGCGCCCCCTACCCCTACCCCCCCACCGTCTCCGCCCGGGGCCCCTTCTCGCGATTGGGACGCCATGTCTGCGGGAGCTAACATTGGCTGTGCGGCGAAAATTTGTGTAAAAATATATATATAAATACAGTGAGACGAGACGGGCTAGTTAGGAGAACGCTCGAACGGAGAAACCACACAAGAAAACACATCAGAAAAAAAAAGTTGAGACGAGACAGGCTAATTCGGAGAACGTTAGCAAATAAACAAAAAAAACAGACGAGACGACCCCCAAGTGCTCAACCTAGGCTTGTTGATGGAAGCCGAAACCTGACTGGTCTAAATGGTTTTTGACTTCGGGTTCTGAGAGGCTAACAAGGAGAATAACAGCAAAATTGCCCATAGCTTCAGCTGACGCTACGAATTGATTGCTGATCTATACATGTTCGACTTTTCTACAGACAGGGATGCTGACGCTATGAATTGATCGCTAGTTTTGTTCGACTCTTCTCTACAGACAGAGATGCTGACGCTATGAATTGATTGCTAATCTATGTTCGACTCTTTTCTGCAGACAGAGATGGATTCGTTGTGTCATAGCATAGAGACGGATTCTTTGTGTCATGTTGAAAACAAAAAAAAAAACGGCCAAACAACGAGGCAGCGCCACACTGGTGGATCCAGAGGGACGACATCAGGCACACACAAACATTCCTGCACATGTTCACCTGAAGGAAAGCCAAGAGAACCTGCGAGCAGGACTTGGCTCCCTCGTGACTTCCAAGTGGCTTGCTAGGTTCGGACGAGGGCATGTGTGGAGCTATGGTAGTGTATGTGTTGCTATTTTGTTTGAGTCATCTAGCTGCTGACACGATGACTGTTGGATCTTGGGAGTGTACGATTATCAACTTGGGAGATGCAGCATACCACGATATCCTGGCTTCGGCTGGGCTTGAAATAACCCTTTTGCTGTCCTCCACTCTTTGCATCAGTGGCTTCCTAGATTCGGGCGAGGGCAAGTGTGGAGCTATGGTAGTGTATGTGTTGCGACTTTGTTTGAGTCATCTAGCTGCTGACACTATGACTGTTGGATCTTGGGA